GGTGTCGTGAAGCACAAGGTGAAAAAAGAACTGTTGTATCAAAACTATCATGAAGCATTATTTCAAAACAAAAAGCATGAAATAACATATAATTTTATTCGAAGTCGAAACCATCAGTTATTCTCAATGTCTCAAGTTAAGCAGAGCTTGAGTAATTTTGAAAATAAAAGACATTACTTAGATGCCTTTACTTCTTTACCCTACGGTCATTACAATCTACGTTAAAGAAAAGATAACTAAGGTTATTAATGGATACTAATAGATATAAACACGGTAAAATTTATAAAATAACTGACGTAGGTTATAACAAGTGTTATATTGGAAGTACCTGCGAGAGTTTAAGTCAGAGAATGACAAGACATAGAAGTAATTACAAAATACATCAAAATCAAAAGTATGGAAGGATGGCGTCATTTGAACTGTTTGATGAATACGGTTTGGGCAATTGTAAAATTGAACTTATTGAAAATTACCCGTGCAGTAGTAAAGAAGAATTACAAAGACAAGAAGGACACCATATAAGCAGAACTGGCTGTGTGAATAAGCAAGTCACGGGAAGACCAGCAATAGAATACCGACAACAACCAGAAGTTAAAGAACATAGGAAAGAGTATAACAAAGAATATAGAGCACTGAACCGTGATAAACTAAATGAGTATGATAAAGCAAAATATGAAAGGAACAAGGAAGAAAGAGGGAAAAAGATAGAATGTAATGTATGCCATCAACTTATTAGGAATGACTGGATGAAGAGACATCAAGCATCAATCAAATGTCAATCAAACAAAACAAATTACAATGAAAATAATGAAAGTATTAATATCTAAATAGTTCTAATATTAAATGCACTTATTAGAACTATTTAGTGGCACTTCTTCAGTTGGTAATGTGGCGAAGTCGCTCGGTTATAATGTAATATCATTGGATTTGAAAAATGCTGATATTAATTGTGATATACTTGAATGGGACTACAAACAGTTTGACAGAAACCATTTCAATTTTATTTGGGCATCTCCTCCGTGCACCGAATACAGCAGAGCTAAAACAACTGGGGTTAGCATAAACAAGATGACCTATATAAAATCCCTTCTGAATTGATTAGTGATATATTTGTTAGTTTGTTTTAGGGTAGAAGTCCAAAAACGGCCACCCGTTCCAGAACCTAGAAGACGACAGCGACGTAGGCGAAGAGAATGGCACACGCGGGGATTAAGAGAGGGTACATCATCCTATGGTGTGGGGGTCATCATCCCGAAAATGGGGGAACATCATACTATGATGTGGGGGTCATCATCCCGAAAATGGGGGCACATCATCCTATGATGTGGGGGTCATCATCCTATGATGTGGGGGTCATCATCAAAAAATGAATGGGATTTCCTTTATAATGTGGGGTCTAACATATGTATATGATGGGTCTAACATATGTATATGACAGGTCGAACATATGTATATGATGGGTCAACCATATGTATATGAAGGGTCTAACATATGTGAATGACAGGTCTGTAAAGCGCCTATAGAACATATTACATTTGAAATTTATACATAACAGAAACAATGTTTTCATGGCTTAATCATAATATTTAATTATAATATGATTAAACATTGTTTTATAATCTAACAAGAAGGTTAAGACATTTAAATTAAACCTGAAACCCAGACCAGCCGACCAGCAACCCCCTAGCCAAAACTACTTAAAGAAATATTACCTTATATATTAAGAGAAAAATGAACGGTGATGGAATCAATAATTATATCGATAAAAAATGCTATGATTGTTGTCACTTCAAAAAAGAAAATATGGAATTGTTTAGATTGAGTTTACCTAATGAAATAGTGAATAATATTATTAATTATTCAATGGATGGTGAAGAAGACATATGTAAAAATTGTAAAACATGGAGAGATAATCAATTTTTAATCAAATGTCTGTTGGAAATAAAAAGAATAAATAATAGAAATGTAGAAGATGATATTTTAATATTTCTAACTGTAAATAAAATACCACCTTACGACTGTGTTAAACAGTTTCTTAAAATCAGTAAGAAAAAATATGAAATGATTTACGATATATTATGGATGATGGGTTATAGTCAAGAGAAAGGAGAAGATGTTAAAGAAAATATCAAATTATTTATTGAAAGTAAAAAGTTTAATGTTCAGAATACAGTGAGAGATGTTAATATTATTTTTAAAATGATGTATGAAAGAAGTAAGACAAACCAATTAGATTATTATCCTGAACTGAAATTATAATCATAATATAATAATAACATGTAAAATCTTATATGTTATAATTATACTGAACTTTTAACCTATAAATGAAAATTAGTGAGAAAAACACTAACAAAACAAATACACCACCAACACCCCAGAACTTGATAACTACTAAAAGGGCCAACTCTTTCAAATGAAAAAAATGTCGGCCCCCAGCCCAACAATGAACAAGGGGGGCAATTACCAAAATGATTACCTTAACGAAAACGATAAATAAGCTCCCTAAAAACCCTCTTTTAAAAACGAATAAGGGGGAACACAGATTTGAGATGAACATAAAAACCAGAACAGGCAACCCTCAACAGACCACCCCCCAGGCCCCCTACTTTTACCATTTTTTTTTGGGGGGGGGGGTGGGAGGGTATGTTACGTCTCAAGGATCACTAAATTGGGGTTGTTTTTTGGGACAAGGTCCTAAAACTTGGGGGGGACCCTGTACTGTTCCATTTTGTGGATAGGTTGGAGGGTACTGATGGGGGCTTTGAGCATGTGGGAAAAGTTGGTTTTAGGCCCACTTTCTGTAAGAAGGAAAGCCTGGCTGCTGTCATATGGGCCATGGTTCTCCCCAGCTGCTGTCATATGGGCTATGGATTTGGTCTTTGCCCAGGTGATAAGGGGAGGTTTGGGGCGGCTTTCAGGGAGGGTTCCGGAGGGTTCCAGGCGCGGGGTTTTCTACAGACCACTCATTTTTCGAATGCTAGCCATTTTAGCCCAGGCCACTTCATGTTTAAGTGGTTAGAATGGGTGGCTAAAAGGGAATGCCAGCCGCAGATAGGGGACAGTTTTTGGGGAAATTTGATTTGAGCATATTCCTCTTACAGGGACCCTCTTTTAGGTTCCATTTTGTTTTTTGGGAGGGCACTTTTTGTAGGGTTCCCGAAAATCCGCATTTTGCTGGGTTTGGACATCAGCTGTTGGGCCAATAATTTTAGTTGAATTTCCCTACCCAAGTGTTGTTGTTTTCCCGCTTGCACGGGACAACAAAGGAAATCTACCGGACATCCACAACATACCAGTATGTTCACTTCAATGGAGCACCCAAATTCGGCTCAACCAATTGCTCGATCAACTGCACGGCAGAGCTTGCAACCCTGTCAGCTGAAACCGTGCCGCAAATCACCAAAGGGATGTGCCTGAAGACCCAGCAACGCTGATGTGGGAGTGCCTCAAATCAACCATTCGATCACTCAGACGGGCTGCCATAGAAAATCAAAATTCGAAGCGAGGAAACGGTGTGATGTGCAGTGCCACTCAGACACTACATGTGAGAGCATGGGGACATGTTTGTGGTAACATTGTAGAGCTGCATTCATGGCGGCCGACTGCCTGCCCCTTCCGGAGGCGAGCAGCAAGGGAAAGGGCAAGGGCAAGAAGGGCAAGCGCAGGACCTCGTCCGTGTTGCGGCCTGAGTATGTAAGTTGCAATGTCATTGCAGACAGCCAAGCCATGTGAGTTCCGAACATCACTCAGCGCACTTTCCTTCCCATTTGGTTCCTGGCCCGTAAGTGGTTAAGAGTACCCTACCCTTTTTTGGGGGTTGTCAAACAAATCCAAAGACACACGGGCCCCGCTTTCCTCTTCGGAGACGAACCGACCAGAGTCTTTCTGTCGCTTTGTCCATGAGGCCAGTACTGGACATCCGGCTCCAGGTGGCCCTGTGACAGAAGCTCAATTCGTTTGTTTCAACAGTGCGGGAAAATTACCATGTAAGAATTGATGATATGATGAATACAATGATGAAGGATACTGAATACAATATGATATATATATATATATATATGTGGACTCTGAATACAATAAATAATGATATAATATATGCTAATCGGTCATGATTACTACTCTTGATACCACGGATCGTGTTTTGACGAACTGATAATTTTGTTGTTGCCGAGCATATAGTTATCAATCTAACTGGTTGGCTTTGATTATAATAATTGTTGTTTAACACGCTATACAATATGGTTGAGAACATGTGATTATTGAAGCTATGTCATGTACACAATGATAATCTTCATAAACGTAATTGTAATAATAGGAATTGTAATAATAATGATCATGACAACACTGAAACTAATAATCCTCATACATTAGATACAGCGATATATTAATTACGTTGAACAACTAAGTTGTTTTTGTTTTGTTTACATTGCATATTGAATCATGTGTATGATTTAAGTACGTGGACAAACTTATAATAGTTTAGTAGGCATCATATATATATATATACATATATACATATACATTATGGTAACATACGTATTCACGTGACACTCATGATTATTTGGATTGTTTTGATGGATTGATATGAAAGCCGGCGGAGCTGGAGACGGACATTTCGGAGTACCCTTTTGCGCTGCCACTAGAAGCTTTCGTCTCTGTGATGTACCCACCAAAAGAGCAGACTTTGGTACCCTGACTTTGCAACAAACTCGTGAACACTGCTTGGACTGCAATCAGCTTGCTAGCTGATTGCACTCACCTCAATTTAAGGGCATTGGAAGGATGCTGGCTGGCAGTTGACCTTGTCAATGTCGGCCCTTGTTTGATGCTGCTCTGACAGACGTCAGTTCACAGATGCAATGGCTAGCCGGCCAGCCAGCCAGCCACACCAAGCACGAAGTGGCGTTAGCCGTTAACTGTCAACCTTATCCATTTCATTCTCCACAAGAACCTACTCAAAGGCTTTTGGACCAGCGTGTGGAGCAGAATCGCGGGGTGTGATGCTGGAGCTCTCGGGAGGTGTCCGTGTTGGCTTCCTTTCATTCCAACAAGCCGCTGTGGCTATTGTGTTCTTAACTCACGCAGTGAGTTGATTCGCGCACCCCACTTTCGGTTCTTCCTGCTTTGATTTTACTGTGGGTCTATGCCTTCGGGAGTTTGGAGGTGCTTCCCGCGCCTCAGCCGCTTGCTGCGCAGCGGCTTTTTTGGTTGGGCCGGCTGCTCCAGCCGCAAGGTGCCGTGAGAGGCGGGGGCGGGCGCCGCCCTTGGCCTCGTTACAGCCGCTCCTTGCCCTGAGGCCGCTTCATTTGGCTTGCCTTGCCTTTGAAATCCGTTTGCGCAAGTCAGTTGCCCCTTGCCACATGTTCTTGGTGTCGGGTTCTGAGGCTGTTTTCTGCCTGGTTGTTGCTTTTGGGCCTCGCTCCGGCCGCAAGCTGCGGATCCTGACAGGTGTTTTGCCGGCAGCCCCGAAGTTGGCTATGAAAAGCGTGCTCGTTCTGTTGCATCAATTGTGAATTCATATGCTGGAATATGTTTTTGGCCAAATGCAAGAACCTGGAACCAAGTTTCATGTATTCCTTGCTCCAATGTACCGTGATCAAACGTTTATCGTGTATGTCTCGCCGCGCTGCGCTTTGACGCGCACAAGATGATTCAACATTTGGTCGCCAGTGGGTTCGTTTTTCACCTCAACACAAGTCAACCATACAGATCGATGCACCCCTCGTGGATTGCTTGAAGGACCTCAGGTGATTTGGGAAGTCCCCTTGACAGCCAAGCAATTTGGGGCTACTTGCTCAAACAATAAGGGACAACCCCAGAAACACTGTTTGTTTGGTTGTTCCTTGAAAACCTCAAAGCACAAGCACCATTGTAACTTAAACAATTGCCGTGTATTGTGATGGATTGATATGGATTGCGAGCATGCGTTTCAATATAAACGGGCAAATCCAACGATTGACACAGTTTGTGTAAACATGTTGCGCAGCGTTTTGAAGGCTCGCAAATATCACATGGAGACCACACATGGTGAACATGAGCACGATCAGCACGAACATATTTCTTTGCCAGCACACAGGTTTCGCTCTTATCTACACATCGTCTGCTATGCAGTTCGGTGATGATGAAAAGAAGGAGACTTGGTGTGAACTTGGCCGGGCATATGCTTTCCATGCTTGTGCATTGCACCGGAGGAGTCTGCACCTTACTGGTTGCTGATCAAACCACCGGAGAATGACCTCGAGCAGTCCAAGGCTCTTGCGCTTGGCTCCGAATTTGTGTGTGTGTGCTTTTGAGGGTACCATTTGTGTGGTGGTTTCAAAGCAACAACTCAAGGGCAAACCAATTGTTTGGGGTCAACCAATTTCAAGATTCACCCAAGTTGTCGTTTATTGATGGGTTGCCTCTTTCTGACATATCGAACCTTGAGCTGTTTTTTTTGGTGTGTGTGTGTGTGAAACTTGGCATGAAATTATGCTCAATAGTGGTATCAGTGAAACAATTGCTTTTAACATGGACTCCTGGACGACGAACACATGCATGTCTGACAAGACCGACCATCTCAGGGTCCCCTCAGATGACATATGAATATGCAAAACTGGGAATGAACCCATAATTCCCCTCAAAGGAAATCACGAGGGATAGTTTATGGGTGTCATACCCATATTGTTTTGTTGAGCACCAGCAAGAAACGCCGCGTGGGCTTCTAGAAGGCTTTATTTTGCCATGTCGCCCGCCCGAATTCCCTGTACAGGCCGAGCTCAGCGCTGCAGCGATGTTCAGACGCAGGCCTGCGGCTGAGGGAGGAAAAGGCGGCTTGAAAGGGAAATGGCAAGGAACATGTTGAACTCCCGCAGACAAACAGTGGCTTTCCTCTTTGAGAATTACCCATCCCCCCACAGAACAAACGTATTGTTTTCCTGTTTGAGACGCACACACTTATGGGAACCCGTATTTTCCGGACGTCGAACGCGGGGGTTGCACCTCTCGCGAAGACACTTCGCGCCAGGGGAGTGTTTTGCGGCGAAGGTGAAACTGATCATTGAGTTGTGATCGGGCAAATATGGGCGTGGCTCAAAATTCAACGGCGGGGGTCACCCAGGTTTTTGGTCTACTTTGTCTTTTGCCAGGGTTCCTTTTTGGATCTTTTTGGGTACCTAGTTTTGAGAGATAGCTTTAGCATCATTGCGTGGCCGACCGCCTTTGCCATTTGTGCTCCATGGTTTTGTGGCACCTGGATGATCGACCACCTTGTAAGAAGCCCTGCAAAGACAACTTCGTTCAACCTTTGAACCACTACGAGCTGTCCTGTTCTCCATCATCAGAAAAAGGCTACCCGCTTGACATTGAACTAAAAAAAAATCAGGGACCTCTATTGCGCGTGAATCCACATGAGACCTTTCCTTCTGTTTGCACTCTCCAGCTAGGCGCCCAGAGCCCCAGCGCTTTGTTCCCAACTCTTGAAAGTAGGAATCAGAAAAAAATCCGCTCCATTCAAATAGAGGTTATGCCAAAAGGGTGGTTCATCACATCCTGTTCTCACAAGTCTGGTGGAAGGAGGGTTGAGACAATGATCAGGGTGTTTTTTTGTGTAGTTCTTCCTGTTTTACCAGGTGCAATCTTGCAATCAATACAGGTGTTTGTTTGTTTGTTTGTTTGATTGATTGTTTGTTTGTTTGTTTGTTGAATTGTTTGTTTGTTTGTTTGTTTGTTTGTTTGTTTGTTTGTTTGTTTGTTTGTGTGCGCGAATAAAGGCAGATGCGGCAGTGTTGACGTGTTATGTGTGTTATCGTTGTCCTTTTTTCAAGTGCTGGTGCTGTTGCTTTTGTTGTTGTTGATGATGATGGCGATGACAATGTGCTTGGGAATGCCGCAAGTCATTTGCTTGTTTTGCTCGGCCCAGTTTGGAGCCGGCAAGTCATGGCACACTCCAAATGGGAACCCAGTTGGTTAGGACCTCCTGGATGATTTCACCCAAACAACGCGTGAGCTGAATCCTGGGATGAACTACTTCCCTTCAAATTGATATATCTAATTTGTGGCGCCCCAAAAGGAGATTGCAAACGAGTTTGCTATCAGTTCAACGTCAATCCACACCTTTTTAATCAGTAGTTTTCCTTTGATTTCCCTTTGATTTCCCTTTGGTTTCCCCTTGGTTTTGTTTCGGTTTCCCTTAAGCTTCCCTTGGGCTTCCATTTGGTTTCGCCTTGGTTTCCCTTTAGATCCACCAAACCATCCGTCCAGCGCAAGAGACGCCCCCATTGGTCGGGGAGCAGCGGGTCAACGCGCCCGCAGGGACGATGCCAAGCCGGAAGTGCTGGTGGAGTCCAACGGCGCCAGCCTGCCCTTGGCGCCGCAGGCGCCGCTTGCGACCGATGGGATCCACCGTCTTTTTCTTGTTTTTTTTTGGTGTTTTTTTTGTGTGTTTTTGTGTGTGTTTTTGTTTGAAGCACTCCCCCCCCTCCGGCCCCCCCCCTCCCACACAAAAAGAAAGAAAGGAAAGAAGAAACAAGCAACAAAATCAAAGCACACAAACATCACTATCAATTCAAAGAACGCGAGTTGCCTCTGGGTTCCCCCCCCCCAAAAAAAAAAGAAAGAGCTAAGTAAAGAAATTGGAATAGAGAACCCGGTTTGACTTTGGGGTTGTCTTTAAACCCAACCAATACCCGGTGCCCTTAAAATCAGACACATTTGTAAGGTGTCCTTCTGGTTTCCCCCTTCAACTACCAGCCGAAAGGGGCATGTTGAGAAACACTTTAATGAGCAAACTCACCCTACGTGTTGCTGGACTTTATAGTTGCAGTGGTCACGCCCTTCGGGACAGAGTAATCCGACACACACAAGAGGTTCTGGACTTTGTACTTTTGGGGTTTGGATCATTTTAGTAGCAACCAACCGAGGGTAAAAGCTTAGTAACCAATCCAATATTTACTGTCATCTGCAGTCAAGAGAATGCCATTGGGCACGCTCATCAAACTGCCACCATGTGGGCTTCCGCTCAGTTTCCCTTTTGGCCCTCTTGGCTGAAACTCAAAGGACCCCCGTACTATATAACCCCTCCAGGCATAGATATCAATCCCAGAACTCACCCACTGGACACAGGTTTAGCCTAAAATGAAGGAGGGCAACCAAACATATGTCCAAATCCAAAGAAACCCCAAGAAATCTAAGGCAATTCCCTGTTCCACTTTGGGAGGAGAGAAATCTAAGGGCATCCTATCTGGGCCCCATCCTTTCTCCTCAGAGGGTTCCACCGGCGCGCGCGGATGGCGAGTCGCTCGAGGCGCAGCTGGGGACCTGCGTGGTGGACCGGCACCGCGTGCTGCAGGTCTGCCTGGGCCGCGAGCCCGGGCTCCCAACGCCTGCGCGCGTTTGGCCGGGGGGGGCTTTCGTTGGGTCGCAACAAAAAGCAGAACACACGGGAACGGGAATCCCCGGAAGCTGCTTCCCCGCGGGATCCGATTTTAGCAATGAGCCTTGACCCAAAAGCAAACCCACCAGAGTGGCTGGAAAACACCTCGGTTGGATAGTCTGATCGCAGAGCGGGCGCGCGGTTTGCGGTGTTGTTTTTATTGCTTTTTCTAGAGGAAGTCACTCAGGTGGGTCTGTATCAGGGGGTCCCTTGCCACTTTGGGGCGGCTCTTTTGCGTGTCAAACCGACTTGCGGCTGGAAACCAAGTTGAGCGGATTGAAACGGGCTTTCTGCCTTGTTGCGTCTAGCCGAACTAGCCGAAAGACCAAGTTCTGAAGATGGAGGTTGATTGCAGCATAGCGTGAGGCGTTCAGAGGGGAAGGACGTGTGGAGGTAAATGAGTTGCCCCCAAAGCTCCAAACCACTGGCGTGAAGTACTGATGTACAAACTGGTAGGTGGCTTATGCCAGTAGGGCTCCATCCGGACCATCCAACTGCCATCCGCTTATGTGTCAAAACAAGGGATATCTTTTTTAGATTGGGGGGTTTCCTTCTTGGTTTCCTTTTTGAACCACCCCCCAAAATGGGAGTGCCACCTGAAAAGCGAAACCCCCCAAAAGTGGCAGCCCACCCCCAAAAAGCGGTTCCCTGAAAAACCGCCAGCGGGGCACCACCAATTCCAGCCCCAAAAAAGGGGCACCACCAAACCCACCATTACAACAGGGTAAAACGGCGCCTCCCCTTGATTTCTGCGCCGAATCCGAGTCACGGGGTGCTGCTCTCGGACGCCGGGGTGGCCTTCACCTGGGGGGACAACCGCTACGGGCAGCTGGGAAGGACCCCGGTGCTCAAGGAAGAATTCGGCAGGCGTGTCAAAGCTTCGTGGGCCGCTTGGCGTCGTGGGCTTGATTTTGGGGTGGGGCATCCCGCTGGGGGCGTCGGCCTTTTTTGGGTCGGATTTGTGTGTGGTCCGTCTGGGGTCAATTTCTCCCTTGAAGCCAGTTTCGCCAAAGGGTGCCGACTCACCGAAAGAAGCATGGAAAAGAAAACGGGCTGGGTACCATGTTGTTTTGGGGTTGGTCTAAAGGGACATCGAGAAGGAAAGGCATTGGTTTTGGGATCGAACTTTTTGGGCTTCCTTCGGGCCCCTGAAAGAAAGGGGCACATGAATACCATGGGACAGAAGAGGTGAATTCCACGAAACTGTTTGGGGCTTGAGGCTCTCTTACCTTCAGAGAGGGCAACTGTTTCTTTGAGGGGTCATGCTTTTTTAGAGAAAGTTCTCATCTAAATGATGCGGATTTCCCTGAAGTAAGCGTATACACACCCTTGTTTCAGCAATGGAAGTTAACGGTGCAGAGTTTGGAAGATAGTCCTCTTGAACGAGCCGGCAACTGCCCACTTACTAAGTGTTGGAAAGGGGGTAGCGGCACCTTTCCTAGCCGGAAACCACCACAATCAAACACGACATGTTTAAGGAACATGGCCAAATTCATATTTTAAGCAACACACGAATTCTTGTTTGGTCAAAGAATCCCTGCTGTCAGAGAATGTCACCAACCATCCTGGGAGGTGTGTGTGTGGCTTGCAGGATGGCGCTGACAATGGTCCGACAGTTGAAGGTACACAGATCCGACCCTATTTGGGTCTCCAATTAGATCACACCCACTACACCCAAATTAGTGTTGTTAGGTTGGAGCGCAAGCACACGCACACGCACAAGCAAAACCACGCAGTCACATATTTCTTCACATTTGTCTCAGCTTGCACTCCCGATGCTTCGCACGTTTCTGCAGCCAGTGCGCTGGGAGGTCCGCCAGGTTTGGCTGAGGATTTTGAGGAGGACACCTGCACTTTGGGGGCCCCCCGGCCACCCCCCAAGCTCTAACCCTCGCGCGAACGCAATGAGAGGAACAAGATGTCCCTGAGCATCAATCTCTTTTCGTAGACTCTGGAAAGTAGTAGTTAGTCATGAAGGCATATTCCTTTCTCCAATCCTATCTTCTACATTTGTCCTTTTCCAAGTTTTCAGAAGGAAAGCCACAAGGATGGCTCCCGTTTTGGGGGGTCCAAATCCTAAGAGCCACGCGGCAGGCCGTTTCCGGTGCTGGGCCTCAGCGGGTACGAGGTCACCCAGGCCGGTCCCAAAGCTTCGATGTGGGACTGCGGGAGCTCGTTCCCCACATGGGCTGCTTCCGTGAGGCGGAGAGTACCGTTTTTAGGTCAGTTCAAAGGGAAGAAGGATGCATCTTGGGGTCCCAGTATTTTGACATGGATGATTGAAAGGGAATCCAAAATGAGTTCCTCACTTTGCCTTCTCCGTACCTCCAAAGTGGCTGTTCAGTGGATCGACCGACCGCAGGTGTACTTTTCAGGTGAGTTTGCTTAGAAATAGATCGAACGCACTGCTGATGGGTTTCATTTTCCATCTACCAGGGCCATCTATTTTGCCCAACAAGGACACCAATCCTCCCACCGACTACCATGGAAAAGGGCACAGACCCCTGTTGAAAGATTTCTTTCCTCCCAAGGGGCTTTGGGGCTTTGTGCACTCCCACGCACTCGTCGCTGGGAGATATGCTATGGCCTCATCCACCACCCTCCATTTTCCCCGCAAAGGGTGAACCCCTGTTTCTTGTAGAGGGCCAAGTGGGAAGCTTCGAAGAACCCCATTGGAGCTTGGACCTTCGATTTCTCGTTGTTGGGCCGCCGCTTGTTCCCCGGGCCCGCCTGCCGCCGAGAATTTTGGGTCCCAAGTCGCAGGTCAGCGCGGGGCACCACCACTGCCTGGCACTGGTGGCCCCAGGGCTGGCGCGGGGTCCAGGAGGTCCAGGGTTTGGGAAAACCAGCGACGTAGCGCGCTTCGCAGGTTTGGGTAAGTTTTTTGGTCTAGGTGTTTTTGTTTGTTTTCTAGCTTGCTGGGTTCTGTTCTTTACGTGTTGACGTGTTTTGTGTTTTGTATTGGTTTGGTTTTGTTTCGTGCATGTTTTTTGTTTGTTTTCTGATAGGTGTTTGGGTTCATGGTTGGTGTGTGTTTTGTTTAAAGCTTTTTGGGTGCTGTTCATGGGCAAGGTTTGTGGGAAGTGAAAGGATTGGTCAACGGTTGGTTGAGTTTGATTGGGGTTCCAGGTTTCGAGGAGATCCGGCTGAAGACCCCCGCGAATTGGTCAACGTCAGACCCCCGTTTCGTGGACGAAGGAGAGAGGCAAAAGCCTCCCTTTCTCCCTTTACTCTCTAGAAAGCGTAAGCGTGGATCTTCACCCTTTTGCGCAGAAGCCATGCTTCTGGTTAGAGTGTATGAGACGAGGTGTTGATTGTGACGAGTTTGTGCGGGCTTGGAAAGGAGGGGGTCTAAAGAGGGGGCTTTGTTCGCGCTGATTCTTGGAGGTGCCACTCAGATTTTTCTCGCAATCGAGTCGGAGGAATGCTCTGGGGGCTAAGGCGCGTCCGCGTTGAGTTCTGGCATGCCCATTTCAGGGGCATTTGCCCTTGTCCTTGAAGGGTGGAGCCGTCCAAAGTTTGCAGGCCCCCCCAAAACAAAAAAACTCCCCACCCTTTTGGAGTGGTTTTGAATTTTGCAAAACAAAAAAGCACAAGAAACACATGCAAACACTGGGGCCCACTCCCATTTTGGGGGTAACCCCAAATCCGCGCAGAGAGGGGCCGTTTGGGGTTGCCTCCGCTGGCTCAGGTTTGGGCGTGGGGTCGCAACAAGCAGGGCCAGCTGGGCATCGGGGACTTCAGGCTGGGGATTGTGGATTAGGATTTGCCAACCCAAACCACTTTGAACAGCCCAGTTTGCCCCCCCCCCCCCCACCCCAGAAATGGCAGTGCCTTCAAAATTAAAAAGCCAGGGTTACGCAGGTGTTGGTCCAGGTTTCCGCTGACCAGGGTACCATTTTGGTGCCGCTTGTTTGAGCCACAGCCAAATATGGCTGTGGTTGTCAAAACCAATGGGATCCCAGTTTGGAGTTTGGGGTAGGTGCATCACCCATTTTAGAACCTATTTTAGTGGGGATTGGGATGTGCACGGGTACGGGCTTTTGATCTATGGCCATATACTGAAATTTGGGCACCCCTATAAAGGCGGCAGTCTTCAGCGGTTTGCCTTTTACTTCCCAAGGTGAAGAGGGTGCCCTCAACAATCGCGCACATCCAGCTACCGGGGTCTGCCGGGTCCCGAAAGAAGAGGAAGGTCATCTTCCAGATATCCCGAAGATAGCCGTGTGAATTGCCGAGAGGCACAGGTGTTTGTCTTGCAGGCTCTGCTTGTTTGTCGGCCTGGGGAGTAGATCACAGGGTCCTCAGCTCATTGTTCCTACCTCGCGCAATTTGATGAATCAAACATTTCTGTTCAGAGCTGGACTCATCTTTGGCTTTCGAATTGGCAGAAAAAGGTAGGGCCAACTCCAGAAAAATGCCGCATGTGTCAAAATAGAGGGGCCCCTTTACAGATACGGGTGTTGTTTCTCTTTTTCAGGCTACCCTTTTGGGGCTCGTTTTCAGGGAATCCAACATGAAGCCCATCATTTTGAGGGCTCCCCTAAAGAAAGACACATCCTTCTTGTTTGTATTTTGGCTTTCGTTTCAGCTAAACAACGCGCCCACACACACAACATGTGACCGCGGTTGGCTCTGTTTTATGTACAGACAGGCCTGGCCCCCGATCAAATTTTCGTTTCTGTGGCTTCCTCGAAAGAGTACTCGTGTATGTGGTTTGTTGAGGGTACCCGTTTCAGGTTGGTTGTCCAATGACCCACCCATTTTTAAGGCCTTTTCTGTGGCATGGGGCCGGTTTTCGGTGTGTGTCTGCAGACATCCCGTTTGAGGAACTGAGACTTGAGCTTCAGCTGGGCAGCGCTTTTGAGTTGATCGAGTCGAAACCGTGACTCGGGTTTCTGGGCTTCAGGCGGCGGTTCTGAAGTTGAAGGTACACGCGCACACATTGGTTGTCTGAAAATATAATGGGGAGGATGCCCGCAATGGATCGAAATGGGGTAGTTATCTCTGGGTAAGATCAAGAAAATGACATACATAAAGTCTCAAATGGAAAACTGGACACGTTGTCGGAAAGCAGGGAGACTACGCATGGCTGGTTGAGGGAAACACCTGGAGGGCGAATAGGGATGCGATTTAAGCCTAGAGAGAACTTTAATGCCGCTAAGGGTGTTCCCACAGATGTTGCTCCCAATCATTCCCGGTCGACCTCTTTAGACAATCCACCAAGCGCGCAAAAACATCTGGGTATGGGCGAAAATTCAACCACCCAAAAAACCACAGGTTTTAAGTCCATGTTTCCATTTTGGGTACCTCCTGTGGATGGACGCAATCCTGCACCACTGTGGAACCATGGTTGAAACCACAACGTTTGTTGGTATTTACAGGGGAATCGAATCATTCCAGGGCTTCTTGGGTGGTGCAAAATGGATTTCACAACCATCCACAGCCTTGGTCGGAAGCCATCGCTACGGTTTGGCACCTCCAGGGACCAGACCCAGCCGGTGAAGGTTTGTCCGAACCTGAGGGGGATGCAAGGCTTTTTTGGGCGGTACATCCATCCCCACCCGGCAAGTAATAAATGGAAAGGGGGGGCCCCCAAGAAAAAGGTGTATAACTCATTTTTGTATGAATGGGGGGTGTGGTGGGCATGTATGTCCCCAAACGGGAGTGTGTCAAAACCGCGTACTTTGCGAAAGCTGTGGAAGTCAACGGGAGCTGCCTTTCAAGGCTCACGTCGAGTTTCCCCACTATGTACCTGGGGGCTTCCCACAATAGCGAATCCATTTTGGGGACTCTTCCAGAGCAATGGACGACGCCGCGGTGGGAGCTTATCGCGCTTTTTTTGAGTTCCGCATCTCGCGATTCGAATGGCCATTTACTCTGTCAGAACTCGTAGGGGGTTCCGTTGATCAAGCATCAAGTTGCGGGGGAATGGTTTACTTGTCTGGGAGCAAACGCCTCCTGGCGGTTCTACTTTTCATGAAGGTATTGGACGATCTCATGCCATCAAATGCCCTGTTATTTGCAGGTCTTGACATAGGAACCCCAGTCCCTGAACGAGGGAAACCGGAAAGGCCGCCCCAAAAAGGGTACCCTCCAAAGCAGACACCTTGGGTCGAGGATGCTTTGCTGCCCTGATGTTTGAGCCCCGAGCCCTTCTCAGAATTATGTTTCTATATAGCTTTTGGGGCCAACGTCTGAGAGGTCGGCCTCCACGGAGGATTGTTTCTGTTGATTCAACCTCCGTCCGTGGTTGGCGGTTGCTTCTCTCTCGGCAAGCTGCAGGCCACCCGCCCATCGCGGAGGGTATGGACTCGCTGCAGCCCCTTGGCTGTGGAAAAGCAGAGGGTTCTTATATATTATATATATTGGTTTTTGTATATATACATATATGTATGTAATATATTTCTTTGTTTTCAAATGATTTCAAAGGGACGCCTCCAGAGGTTGCCACAATTTGTTGGATCCCTATGGCCCACACGCAACTGCTTCCTCCACGAAAGCCTGCAAACCTATGGTCAAAGACCAACCCAGTCCTTTTGTTTGACCTATTTTGTTCAAAGGGAACCCAGAGGTTTCGACCCCCAAGAAGCAACCAGGAGGACAAATCTGGGTCAACCAGGGATCCCGACCCAGCGGCAACCGGGGGATGAACGGAGGACAGTCTGGCCATGGATATCCGCCATGGGTAGACGGGCCCCGAAACCTATCTGCCAGGACCCACCTCCCCAGGAGAGTCATGTTCTGGGGGGGGTTGCTTACCTTTGGGTGGTGTATTAGATGGATGTGACTGTCTTTTCGAGCTTGTCGAAGTTTATGTTAGTTGCCCTCGACTTGTTCTTTACCAACAACTCGAAGTCGTTGTGCGGTTTCGTGGATCTGGCACAGAATCGACAGATGGGTGGCAGATCGCAAGGGCGGTTTTTTTTTCTTCCTGGGATTGTAGAAGGGTTGCGGGAAGGGCTTGGTTCCCAATGTGACACCAAGGAAATGTCCACTACATTCGAAAGGCCTACTTTTAGTATCACAAAAGTGGGCATGTCCCAGAAGCCTGTTGACCCCAGATGGATAAACTTTGACGATTGCCTCCATAGAATCTGACACCTGTTGTCAACCTGGGGTTACACAACGTGACCAGAACCCCCCGCCAAGGAATCACAAATCAATAACTTTGTTCTTCTTATCCCTATGGACCGGTAGCGATCGAGGCTGGGCGCCAACAAAGGCGGCGCCATAGTCACAGCCCCCTGGCAGCATGCGAGAGATGTCTGACAAAGTTTGGCGGGCGATCACCACGCTGCTGGTTTTAGGCCGACCATTTTGATAGACTTTGATTGCGACTCGGGTGATGTTTTTCGAGTTTGTCCAACCTTTTGACGCTCAGATGGCTGCACGGATTGTGTTGGAGTTGTGCAGCTCGTGGTTTGCAGGACTGTTTTGTGTTCTTTGCTTGGTTTTGTCTGTCGTCGTGAACTTCTTAGGCGTCACCAAGGGATTTGCGACTCATTGAGATGCCTTGGGGATTCATGGGTTCCCTAGGGAAGCTCGTACGGGCTAAGCTCATTCGGGATCCCGCAACCTACTTGGTGGCTTGATCCATCCAGCGGGGGACCAGTCGCATGATGGATGAGTCACGCCCTGGTCCGTTCACCCTGTCCTCCAAGACACAAAGACAAGTCGAAGCTGGCAAAATCGACACCCGCCTTTGTTTCAGAGTTTACAGCTCCTAAACATACACCCTTGTCAACAAGCAAGTGCATTGTTTCTTTCCGGGTGTGTGTCTTTGGCATGCTGACTGCATTTGGCACCTTCTTTGTTGGTGCGCCAGGGTTGGGCAAAATGTGTTGAAGCCGTCATTCCCTGCTCCCTTGAACAGGGAAGCCAGAACGAGCAATTGTTCAAAAAGAGGATGTAGACGTACATATATATACATATATATATATATGTATATATTAAATTTGTTCCGAAAATGCCCTGGATGGAGTTCACCCGATGTAACTCCACCAGATTGAGGGTTTTTCTCCATGCCAAGCCGCGGGTTGATTTCGTCGGTTCCAAGGTGAACGCCGGGGCCTCGGGCACCGGAAGGTGTACGCTGGTCACCGGGGTCGGTTTTTTTTTTGGATGGAAGGGACACCGGAAACCAAAAGGAAAACCACGGCCCGGGGTTCAAGCCATTAAAACAATGGTGGTTGTATATGAACCAAGGATTGTCATCATCCAAATTGGGTCGACCATTCGTTTAAAGGGGGTTGAACCCTAGGGCAAAGAATCAGTTTTTTGGGGTTCCCTGTCAAATGTCACTCAAGACTCAAGACACGCTCGAGGTTGATAATCTCTTCCCCCTAATATTAAACGCGGACCCCCCCCCTATTAGTAAATCAGCCTCCGGGGCGAAACGTTTAGTAAGGTCCTTTTGGGTGTGAGCGGCTTTCCGAGACAAAGACGTTTATTCCTTGAAGCGGCTCGAAGTCGCAACTTTGTAGTACCACCGTAGTAAAGGAAGCGTGCTCCCGGGGCCCCGGCTCGAAAGTCGCAAATTTGTAGTACGACCGTAGTAAAGGAAGCGTGCTCCCGGGGCCCCGGCTCGAAAGTCGCAACTTTGTAGTACCACCGTAGTAAAGGAAGCGTGCTCCCGGGGCCCCGGCTCGAAAGTCGCAATTGTGTAGTGCAAGTCTATAAGTAAAGGAAGCAGGGCCCGGGGCCCCGGCTCGATGTCGCAACTTTGTAGTACCATATCTCCGTATAAGAGGAAGCGGCTCCCGGGCCCCGCTCGAAATGTCCCAAAGTTGTAGTACACGACCGTAGTAAAGGTAGCGTGCTCCCGGGGCCCTGCTTCAAAAGTCGCAAGCTTTGTAGTACATACCGAGTAATGAAAGCGTGCTAGCACCGGGGCCCCCGCTCGAAAGTCGCAATTTGTAGTAACAGCCGTAGTAAAGGAACGTGCTCCCGGACCCCGGCTCGAAAGTCGCAACTTTGTAGTACGACCGTAGTAAAGGAAGCGTGCTCTCGGGCCCCGGCTCGAAAGTGCAAATTTGTAGTACCGTCCGTAGTATAGGAAGCGTGCTCCCCGGGGCTCCGTTACGAAAAGTCGCAACTTTTTTTTTTTGTTTTGTAGTACGACCGTAGTAAAGGAAGCGTGCTCTCGGGTCCTGCACTAATTACCCACCCCCTAATAAGGCTGGGGCTGGTCTGGGTGAGAAATCCCGGAGTTTAGTATTGGTTTTGAATTGGCCTATTCTAAAAGCAGTATTGGGACCCGGCGGTCTGGGAAAAATAGTATTTATTAATAGGGTCCTTTTATTAAAAGGGGAAGAGATTAGGGATGGTCAAGCCTTGACAAGGGGATGTGGACTTCCACTGTGAGGGTTCCTGTTCGGGGAATCGTGGCCATGACACAGAGAAGTTTTGACCAGCCCTCAAACAACACCGTATAAGCCTTTAGAACCATCTTTGAACCAAAAGTCAATGGGTCTTGGGCGCTCATTTGTTGGCTTAAATATCACTGGCGTTCGGGATTTCCCATACAAGGTGTTTATTTTGACAGTTTGGACAAGGACAAAGGTGCGCCAGTTGCATGAGTCACAATCATGATGTGGAAACCACAGTTTTTACACACCCACCCTGTTTGATAGGGGATTAAACGGACACCACCCTATTTTGTCACACCCACATCATAGCCTTTTGCCGAGGCCGGCTGCGACAGTTCCCTGGCCGCGGCCGGCAACGCCGACGTCTGGCAGCCGGCACCTTATTCGAGCGGTAGCTTTGCGATTCGAGTGCTCGCCTTGGCCAAAACCCGCGACCCTGGGGGGCATTTTTTTGCGGGAATCCCATTGAGAACTGGGGGTTGGGCGAATTTCCAGCATTTCCTGTAGCTGGTTTCTTAGATTGAACCTGTGCGTGTGGAGTTTTTTGGCGGTTTGAAAGGGAAGCCAAAGGAGAATCACCTGTTTTGGGGCTCCAGAATTGTCGGATATGTTTGAGGTCGAAATATGACGCACCTGAAATTACCGAGTCGGTCAAGATTTGCCTTTGTGCGAATGGCAAATGTCAGTATCCCATTTGCGCGCCCAGCATGGTTATGTCAGTAGCTTGCAGCTGGTTTTGGGTTTGCTGGGAGACAACTGAAAATGCAACTTTGGGGCTCTTGCCGCGCATCGTTTTCGAGCGTTCCGTCGGAACTTGGGAGTTTGCGGGGATGCGAGTATGTCAAAAGCAGGGATGACTTTGAAGGTAAATCCTACATGGAGATTCCCTTTGACACATTCCTGCAGGCATTCTTGCCAATTTGCAAGGATTCTGTTTAGGATCCCGAGGGATCGCAGGTGATGGGTGAACAGAGCCGCCACGTCGACGATTCTCCAACGTTGGCCTCGGGTTAGCGCACACGTTGTCGATTGCTTGTCATGTGAGACAAAGACTACCAAGTTGCATCCCAGTGGGAGACCTTTTCAAGCGGTGTGTTGGCAGTGTTTCAAGATTGGGGATCGCTCCCCCCTCCAGCCCCCTGTTGTGAACCTGTATGTCCCTTTGGTACAAAGGGCCCACTTGAAATTTTGATAGGTATCGTGAGGGTCGTTTACACCTAACCTGGTGGATTTAGTATGGAAATTGGATGCCCACCATTGAGTTGTTGTTGGGGGTGTCTGTTTTATCGTGGCTGAGCGTTTCACACTAGCCTATGGACTTCACAGGATCTATGAGACAAATACATACAAATACATCTGGGCAAATTAAATCGAGCTCACCGATTCGCGGGATAGACGAGTGACAGCCCCATGATGAAGGTTCTTTACAAGAGGGGGAGTCCATTATTCCGGTTTGGGAGTCATAGTAAGTTGGCCAGACTACATAGTATCCTTTCCCCAACAGCAACCCCGTACATTCCAAAACCGAACCCCTGGACCGCTCTCTTGAGCATCCAAACACCACGAAGCAAAGGTAACCTTGTTTCCATTCATTGCGCTTGTCCTCCTT